TTAATTCCCTGGCTCCTTCCTCATTCTCTACAACTGCTCTGCCCTTAAGAATAGGGAAGAACATTTTTTTTCTATTTTTTAAAAACATTTTAATGTTTTTTGTTTGTTTGTTTTAAATACATAAATAATCAAATCTAATAAAATGGGATATGGACTTTTTCTATTTTTTAAAAAGCATTTTTATGCTTCTTTTTTTTGTTTCTAACACGTAAGAATCAAATCTAATAAAATGAGATGTGGGCTTTTTTTCATTTTTTAAAAAACATTTTTAAGGAAAGACATCTTTGCTGCCACCACTAGCTAATACTGATTTGCCATCACCACAAGGGCCAGGTCCTCACCTTGTCTAAACCTCATTATAGGGTTCTCCGAGAACCCACATCACCACCTCAACCTGGATCTCAGTGTATCCCAGGACTTATGGGGCTTCTTGCCCCAGGACATTCTATTCATTCCTCTGCTGACCAGCAAGAAGCACACACCTTAAGTCTTCCCTGAGGTAACTGCTCTGATCTCAGGCACCCATTCCAGAAATCAACAGTCATGTGACTTGGCCTTTCTTTCATCCCTCCCAAGGCCACTTCAAACCCAGAGAATCCAGAGCGGGAGCAAGAGACCAGCCTCTCATCTGTTAGCTGAAGGCCTAAATATCAGTGCCAAAGAATAAGACATGAAGGTAGGCTTATTACCGAATCCCATTTTTTAAAAATGGTCTTATGGATGAGGGATGCATTCTAGAACACCAAATGATGTGTGAGGACACGTTAGAATATTTTTTGACTTACTTGTGTTCTGGATGCTTGAGGGGGATTATGGGGTGTTTGTGTGTGTGTACAAACATCTCTGAGCTACGTGTTTGAGAATTTGTGTGTACCTGCAGTAAAAATGTCTGTGCAATTTTACCACGTGTGCCTGTTTTCAGAGTTTGGTGGGTTTGCAAAAGAATGTCTAAAGGCTTGCCTAGCTGAACTGTTGTGTGTCTATGTAGCCAAAGAATTAGAAAATTTGACTTTTTATAACTCAGTGTCCCTAACGCCATTGAACCATAAGCCTGAATGTCAGCTTTCATACTTTTTTCATCTCTGATATGACTATAATATTATCCAGAAATAAAGGTAAATCTTTGTATGGAATTTTATCCATCACAGTCCTTAGCATATTAGAGCCTGGTTCATTTAAAAAAGCAAGGATCCCCAAATTAATCAGGTTTGGGTTGAAATCCTGAGAGGCATTTACAAACTATGACTTTTAGCAAGTTATTTAACCTCAATTGCCCTCCTCTCTTATTGTATAAAATGAGGGTATTATCTAATTTTTCACATAAGGTCAGAGTGAATATATGAAAAGGGATATAAATTCACACACCAGTTTTGTCCTTACCTAGTGTAGGAACCCTCTAAAAGCCTATCTCCTGATATGAAATAGGGCTCAATAGTTAACATTTATTCACCATTACTACGTTGTCAGAAACTGATCTAAGAGCTTCACATGTTTGACCTACTTAACCAATTCTACTTTCATATGAGGAAATTTGAGGTACAGAGAGGTTAAACAACATTGGCCAAGGTTGCTCAGGTAAGAAATGAGAGAAGCAAGAATGGAACAGGGGCAGTCTGACTCCCAAATCCTTATGTTTTTTTTAATTATATTTATTTATTTATCAATATTTGGCTGTGCCAGGTCTTAGTTGCAGCATAAAGTATCTTCATCGTGGCATGCAGGACTCTTTTGTTGTGTCACGTGAACTGTTAGTTGTGGCATGTGGGATCTGGTTCCCTGACAAGGGATTGAACAAAGGGTCTTTGCATTGGAAGTGCCGAGTCTTAGCCCCTAGACCACCAGGGAAGTCCCCCAAACCCTTATTGTTAATCAAAACATTAATACTTGTTCTGCTTAAGATAAATGAGAAAACCATACAAATACAATGTTGTATTAGGGGGAAGAAGGTTCTTTTCTGAACAATAAAAAATACAGGATTATAATTTAAGAACAGTGAATATGATTTTTAAAATAAGTAATCCTTATAAGGATACCTGTCAGGGACTATGCAGTAGGAAGATTTCTATGCAACTTTTACCCATCACATCAAACATGATGGTTTCAGTACTGTTAGAATTTGATTCAGCATTACCTCAAAGGTTAAGACTTTTGCATCCACTTTTACTTTGTTTGAAAAATAGTTATTAAAATGAAAAAAAAATTATTAAAGTGAGAGCCAGGAAGGTAGTACAGGAACCTCAGAGGTCATTTAATTCAAACTCAGTGGTTCACACAGGTGGGAGGAAATGAAGTGACATCCCCATATCAAATCATTAGCCAAAGCGAGTTCTACTAGGTGAAACCCAGGTCTACTGACTAGTGGTCTTCCTCTACCAGATGACTCTGGATTTAAAGGCTAGTACACGTGTGTCCATCTGTGTTGTTCATGCTCATCACAGTAGCTGGTAAGCAGGAGTGGCGTGGGCATTGGACACAGCCTAGAAGAGAGATACACCACAAATTAAAATTTCTCCTTCTGGCAGGAAAGCCACTGATAAAACACTGATTTTGGAAATCAAACAGTCCTGAGCACACGTCCACAGGGCCACTTACTTATTTATGCCCTTGGGATGCTTTACCTTACTGAGCCCAAGTCTGTTCATCTCTAGGAGGGAGATTCTACCTTCCTCATAGAATTTTCTGGTAAATATATAACTAAAGTATACTAATATATATGGCTGCCTTCCTAAACTAAGGGTTCAGATCTGTAAATGAGCTCCAATGGACACCTAAGTATGTGTGTGCTGCCATCTGTTCCCCCTCCCCACTCCCATGGTCCGGGTTTTCCATTGCTTGTAAGGGACACATCGCCCCGTGTGTGTCGTCCTTCCAAACCCGCGAGTTTCCCTTTAGGGCAACCACAGCACAGAGGAGCGCTTCCTCCTGCTGGGCTTCTCCGACTGGCCCTCCCTGCAGCCTGTCCTCTTCGTCCTCGTCCTCCTCTGCTACCTCCTGACTCTGATGGGCAACTCGGCGCTGGTGCTGCTGGCGGTGCGCGAGCCGCGACTACACACGCCCATGTACTACTTCCTCTGCCACCTGGCCCTGGTGGATACGGGCTTCACCACCAGCGTGGTGCCTTCCCTGCTGGCCAACCTGCGCGGCCGGGCGCTGAGGCTGGAGCGCGGCGGCTGCCTGGCGCAGCTGTGCGCATCGCTGGCGCTGGGCTCGGCCGAGTGCGTCCTCCTGGCGGTGATGGCTCTGGACCGCGCAGCCGCTGTGTGTCGCCCGCTGCGCTACGCCGGCCTCGCCTCCCCGCGTCTCTGCCACGCGCTGGCCAGCGCCGCCTGGCTCGGTGGCCTCACCAACTCCGCCGCGCAAACCGCGCTCCTGGCCGCTCGGCCGCTGTGCGCGCCCCGTCGGGTGGACCACTTCATCTGCGAGCTGCCCGCGCTGCTCCAGCTGGCCTGCGACGGCGGCGGTCAGGACTCTACCGAGCGCCAGATGTTTGCTGCCCGCGTCTTCATCCTGCTGGTGCCTTCCGCCGTCATCCTGGCCTCTTATGGCGGCGTGGCCCGCACTGTATGGGGCATGAGGACCAGAGGCAGCCGCAGGAAAGCGGTGGGCACCTGTGGGTCTCACCTGACAGCCGTCTGCCTGTTCTATGGCTCAGCCATCTACACCTACCTGCAACCCGTGCACAACTACAACCAACGGCGGGGCAAGTTCATTTCTCTTTTCTACACTGTAGTCACACCGGCCCTCAACCCACTCATCTACACCCTCAGGAATAAGGAAGTGAAGGGGGCAGCGAGGAGGCTCCTGGGGGGTGTGGGGGGAGGGCAAGATGCACAGTGAGTCAGGTGGGGATGGAAGGAGGGGAGTGTTACCCCGGGACCCAAGGATGGGAATGCCCAGTGGAAAGGGTTTATCCTTCAGGCTGTTCATTTCTCTACAAGAATCCATAAGATTTGTCCTTAAGAAGCCCATGGTTAATGGGGAGGTCCCTTCCCCTTCCTCCCATCAGGAAAGGTTCTTGTGCCGTAGGGACCCCCCCCCCCCCATGTCCTTTAACTGTGCAGGTTTATTGAGCCGAAGATGGCCCTGGGGCTTTCTCCTAAGCTGATGAAAATAAGAAAGTGAGATTTGGGGAGGACCTTTCACATCTTCAGGCTTACCATATCCCCAAGACAAGAGTCCGTAAGAGATGGTAAGAGATGTATGAAGATCCCAGTCTAGTGGAAGAGGCCATGGAAGACCCCATGGTGTCTGTCATCAGACATATCCCTAAGTGACAATAAAATCATAGACACAGCCCTGCGGGAGATTCCATCCGAAAAAAAGAAGACACGGTCTCTCATTGCAGGGAATCAGTGCAAACAAATGCACTGCTACCCAGTTAAACAGCGCCCACCCCGGAGAACTTGACCCACAATTATAGTGAGCAACACCTGTAAGTGCAGTTCGTGCTGAGTGGGGTTAAGTTCAGAAACGCTTCTGCAGGAAGTGGTTCTTGAGACAGAAAGAAGAGAAGAGACTTGTGGGGAAGAGGGTGGACATATTTCAGGCCGCAAGAAAAACATATAGGTGATTGGGAAGGAGACTCAAGGTGGTGAGACAGAGGAGTAAAGGAAGGGAGAGAGATGGAGGAAGCAGAGAGGGGAACACTCCACCAGCCAGACTGCGGGTAGAGTGTTGGGGTCAACCCAGAAACCAACCCTCAGCCCCCATCCAACCCAGAGAAGACCTGCTAGAGCCTAAGGCAGTCAGGCCAGAGACCCACTCCACAACCACTCAATTTTCTAAAAATCTGTTCCCACCTAAAGTACATCTACTCCCAAGGAGCCCCCACTAGAAGTATAAAATCTCTAGATTCCCACCATGAATACCTTGCCATGACCACCATCATCCCCAGAAATAAGAATGGTTTAATAAGAGTATGAGAAATAGAGAGTAAAAAGGGGCATGGTGCCAAGTTTCACTTCATAACAAATAGCTTTAAATAAGGCGAGGGAAAGTCATTTGATTGAATTTCTAAATTATTTATTAATAAGATTGGAATCATCACAGTAAATAACTCACTTCATGATAAAGCATTTCACTATTCTCTATAAGTAGAAAGTAAGTGTAGCTCAACAATTTTTGAGTGATATGATAGAAGAAGCACTGCGCTAAACATAGATGCAAACACAGTAATTAGAAGAACATGGATCACAACCTCAAATGTACTCTTTTTGATTGCGAAAGGAAATAGTTTTTCTATGAGTCAAACAGAACCAATTCAGGATCAAACTGCAAGCTGGCTTTGAATATTACCTCTAATAGGTGTTCAAATTCCAATATATTCTACCATATCAACATATAATGTATTATATGCAATTTTGCAACTATTCAATCATGTGAGAATGAAAGAATCAATGAATTAGAAATGTTCTACAACATTCTTCACCAGCCCAACCTAAATCTTCTCTTTCTACTTATCATTCACATTAACGTTGGAAGATTTTCAGAGGGTGTGGTTAGTGAGTAAGAAGTAAGAGGAAATGAGCTCTTTCATTTCTGCTATCACTCCATCTGCAGGATGGTCACCCGCCAATGCAGGGGTATGTCAGGAAGAGTAAATGGCCCTTTTTGATGCCATAATCTCCCATGATCTTCCCATCTTCCAGTTTCTTTCCATTGCAGTTCACAATCTGCTTCTTAGGGGGTATAGCAGTCTTCATCTTGATCATCTCCTTCACCTGGGTCACTGAGCTGGACCTTCGCACCTGGAGCTCGTGCCTCTGCCCCTCATCACCCGGCTCCACCAAAACCAAGGGCAGCTCCTCATCACTGGGCTTCACCACCTTCAGGGTGAGGTGGATGGTCGTCTCCTTGTCTATGCCATACGATGACAGAGTTCTCTGGGACTTCAGGGTCGTCAAGCCCAGCTGGAGGACCTGGTCCTGAACGGGAACCTTGGTCCTAGACCGGACATGTTCATTGATCTTATTCACTCTGTCTCCCGGATGGGCAGTGAAGGTCATTGGTCTCCATTGCTCAGAGTGGACAGTCACCTGGACAAAAGTGGCCAAGAGACAGTTGCCTAGAATGCCTGCCCTCTTCTACACCCTTTGTACCCCCTCCTCCATTGCTCCCACCCCTCTCTGCCTATCTGGTCCTCCAGATCCTTTACAAGAAGCTGTGCCCCTCCCTTGTTTGAAACTTGTCTTTGAAATTTCCAGGTCGTAATGCAAGAAAACCAGTCTTATCCCTTTGTCCTCTTATCCACTGTAAAATGTTATTGATAATTTCCTATCTTATTTACCTGTCTCCTCTCCAGATAAATGTCAAATGTCAAAAACTAAAAATAACTAGAAAGCATCCAAAGAGGTACACCAGATTTGAAAAACAGCTCTCAAACAGAATTCCCAAGACTTGACAGCCTAATGGAATACTCACATGGCTATCCTCCATGACTATAACTTCTTTAGAAGGAAATTCTGTTTACAACACATCTTTTCTGTACTGTTAGTTTCTTTCTTAATGCTTTAAATAATAACCCACACACTGTAGTGAAGCTATGTTCAATATCACCTGTTCATCTGTTTCCTCTGTTCTTATATCCACCTGTTGTAGAATATGATCCCTCCTTTAATTGAATCAGGGTCCAGCTCACAGAAAGTAGGGACTACGTCTGAGTCTCATTTCAATAATATGAACACAGGGAATCTCACTCTTGTGCTATCACCTGAAAGTCTTGGAGGACCTCTTTCAGGCTTCATTCAAAATATCTTCCCAAACTAGATGTCACAAACATTTCTTCACTGAACCCTCACTTTTCTATGCTAAGCATTAGCCTCATTCCAAGTTCTTTTTGTAGAGCATATGTCTTACACAGGCATTAACAACTTAAAATAAATGTATCCTGTGGACCTCTCCTTTGGGACAAGGAGAAAGCTTAAGTTTAAGAGCCCTGGAGGCCTAAACAGGATAAGAGAGAAAAGGATCAAGGAAATATGCCCATAGTTTCAAGTCTTGCCAGCCGTGCTGAGCACAAAGCCCAGTCCTACCACATACCCCTAAGTGTGACCAGTGCAAGGTCTCAATGCAAGAGAACTCAGGAGCCAAGCGACCTGGTTCTCTTCATGGAAACTTTCTTCATACTCAATAAGAAACAATGCCCATCTCCTCCCCTTCCAGATGCCTTTCCAGCAACTTACCCCCCCCTTCACCTCCCAGCACTGTCCCTCATCCATTCCCGATTCTCTCCCATGCCTCAGAGGTCCTCTCCCTTTCCCCACCCTCAGTATCAAATCCCAACTCACATCGACGACAGTAGCCATGTCTGCAATCAGAGGAGCAGAATCAGGAGACAGAGCAAAGGACCTCACCTCCAGTTTATATAAGCAGCTAAATTGGAAATCCCCTGCCTGGGTGCTGTGGTTTTCAAGTTTTCCTCTACCCTTTGTTGTCAGACCTCCTCGAGTTACTTTCACTTTTGCTACTGGGGAGTCAGTAAACAAAAATACCTTATGATTAGGCACTTGGCCCCACAGTCAACCCATTTGTCCTCCCTGTTCCAAACATGGGATGGTCTTTCTCTGTTGAGAATTTTCCCCTGATTTACAACCCACCACTCCCAATCCTGACTTGTGACTTCCTAGCCTGCAGCTCTGACCATCACTAGCTTGAAGACCTTTAACACTGGTGGTCCTCCCCTTAGCTTTTAAGAGCCCCCCCTCCCCCACTGCCNATTAGTCAGAGAACTTCCTGAGAACAGGGGTGCCCGGGAGAGGACAGGGAGAGTTGCCATGTGAGATGTGACCAGGAGCAGCCTGTTAACCCTAGCCTAGCAGAATGTGTGAAGCTGACCTGGAGAAAACACATAAATAACCCTGGACTGAGAAGAGCCATGAGTTCCAGTCCCAGGGCTGACACTCAATTAACCTGGGTAAGCCTGTTCACCTCCCTGGATGTTGGTTTTCTGGTCTATAAAATGATATGATTGAACAGAATTCCTAAGTGTCTTCCAGACTCAGAAAAAATTTTTTATAAATGTCCTTTATAAAGAACTTTAGATTCCTGGGTCTTGAGTTTTCTAACATTCTTCTCACGCTATCTGAGAACCTGGAAACCAAATCCACTACTTGAGAACAATCTGAAGCCAACAATCAAACAGTGACTCCCACCTTCCACATGCAAAACAACCACATAGACTTGTCGCACCACAGTGCCTCTATTTCCTCACCCTTACCCCTGGACCCTCACTAGTGTGACCTCAGAAATGCCTAAGGAGCTGTTTACCCCTGAATCTTCAGATTTGGATTGGGGACAAAAAGAGAGCGGACCTTCCTGGTGGTCCAGTGACTGGGACTCCAAGCTCCCAATCCAGGGGACCCAGGTTCAACCTGGTCAGGGAAATGTATCCCACATGCCTCCTCGAAGGATTCCCATGCCATCCCACCTGCTGCAGCTATGACCTGGCACTGCCAAGTAAATGAATATTTTTTTTAAAAAGAGAGAGAATACAAAAACTGTGCATGCTCAGAGGATTTTCTTGATCACTCTGATCTCCTAACATTTCAAGTTAATCCCTGCTTTCTCTGAAAGTCTCAGAACATCTCCATAAAACCCATTTTTCAAAATAAAATATGTATTTAAAGTGCTCCAAATAAAGTACTTCAAAGTAAAAAGTCTGTAAAGAAGTCAAGTGAATTTCTTTACTGGTTTTCAGTGAACATTTACTGTCCCTTCATTCACTGATAAATTTCACATGATCCCATTTTATTCCAGGAGTTTCCAGCCTAGAGAACTTGGCTTTGCAGAAGTGTCTACACAAGTAATGGGATCCAGGAACTCATTCCAATATTTCAACAAGCTTAACATAAATCATGTTCTTTTAACTGAAGCTCTTAATAGATAGTTAATAAAGTTGGTAAAACTAATTATTGTTTAAATATACTTTGTGGGGTAGACAAACTTTTCTATAAACAGAATGAATATGAAGAGGGAAGAATGCAACCTGATGGAATAGACTAAAAGCCCTGACTTTCTCTTCTCCCTTCAGATATTTCTGCAGGTTCCAAGAGTCTCTCTGTTTAGAAAACATGATTGTAACTTCTGGCTACCCCACAGTAGAAAAGGGCTACCCCTCACGCACTGTCCAGTAAGATCTGGGAACTCTGAAACATCATCAGTGGCCAGGCGAAAAATGTCAGATCAAGTTGAGAGTGAAAGAAGAAGTGAAACTCCTCTAGCAGGACAAGGATGGGTGCTGGGTCTGGAGAGAGAAAGAAAAAGCTGTACAAAGCAGACTTGAGGAAACAGCTTTCAGTTTTCACATTTTATTTGCATGCCTCAATTTCTTAGGTCTCCACATCATTATTGGAAACAGAAGAGGGAGAATAGATGGTCAAAGCTGCTTTAAATTAAATCACTCTTTTTTCATACCCTTTCTGCTTTGCCTTTCTGGCCTGGGAATAAATATTGGCACCTATACCACCTTGGTGCCAATGTTTACATTCTCAGAGGGAGGAGGATCCCAGGAATATTTCCCAGGGGTGATATTTGTCTGCTGATACGCTTCACATCTATATCCACAGCCCCACCCTGAACTGCAGATCTGTAGGTCTAGCCACTTCTTTCCATGCATGGGGTCCTGAATTCCCTGTGTATTTTTTAACATGCCAGGCTCTCTGCCACCAGATCATTGAACATGACTTTCCCTTTAACTCTACCCCCAACACCATGGATTTATAAGAATATACAACAGAAGTGGCGTCTCCTCCAGGAAGACCTCCCTGACTCTCTTCCATCCTATGCTGGGTTACATGCCCATTTTCTGTCCTTCTATACTCCTTCAGCAAACTTCCCAGAGCATGTTTCTCTAGAAATGTCACCAGCATACTTGTCCTTCACCCTCAGTAAACAGTGAGAATCTTGAGGGTCATGGCTAAGTCTTAACTTGTATCTTCAACACTTCCCAGGCTGTCTGACACTCCATTCTTACTAAATATTTACCAAATGTATGAGTAAATCAATAAATGAATGAATAAGTAAGTGAATAATAATAGGAAAATAACAGTGAATACCAATTATATTACAGGAACTGCACAAGGTTTTATTAAATGACACCTCATTAAGTAATTTAGGATTCTGACTAGTAAGTATTAGTACCCTTATGGATAAACAGGATGCTAACTTACCCACAGTCATATTAGTGCTTGCTGGTAAGTAACGGTTCCACAGGCGTCCCTGGTGGCTCAGCAGTAAAGAATTCACCTGCCAGTGAAGGAGAAATGGGTTCAATCCATGGATCCACAAGACCCCCTGGAGAAGGGAATGGCACCCCACTCCAGTATTCTTGCCTGGGAAATCCCTTGGACAGAGGAACCTGGCGGGCTACAGTCCATATGGTCGAAAAGACTTGGACACAATTGAAAGACTAACCAACAGGTAAGGGTTCAAATGCAAACCTCTATTTCTACAGTCCTCATCTTCTCACATTGTACTTCAGTGGAAAGAAGGGTAGGGAGTATATGCCCTTGCATACCTTTTTATTACCGGAAAAGTACGAGTCAAGGGAATAAATAGATAAAAGAAAGCAGAGGATGCAAGGAGCCTTTGGATGCATGTGGCAGAGCCTGCCTGGGCAGAGGTAAGCAAAGAGCAGTGGCGAGTGCGGACTCAGAGCCTGGAGGAAGACTGCACCCTGGGAAAGAACTGCTCTCCCAGGACTGTGAGTAATAAAAGACAACACTGCGAGGCAGTTCCACAGAGCAGTAGAAAAACCACCTGCTGGAGCTGGGGATTTTACAGCCTTAAGTTACTCTAGGGCAAGCCACAGATTTTCCCAGGAAAAGCTAGTTCATGTGATTCCCTCCCCAGATAAGATCCGGATTCCGAGAAACTCAGTCCTTTCAAAAAACGAGAATAACACATCTGGACTCTGATCTCTCTTTGCCTTTCTCCCTTCTTATGTGAAATTCCCTCCCAGCCTAAATCAGGGGGAGGGGCTGTCCCAAACATCCCGATGTCCCTTGCTGTCTATAGGTTCCTCTTGGGAACTGACTCCTCCTTGCTTCTCACCACAGTGTCCATCTGCCTTGTTTTTTTTCTCTGTCACAATACACTTTTTCAGAGGCAGAAAGATCTCTTTTCCTTTGCCCCCCTAACAAACTAGCCAAGTTCAAAGATCATGCTGTGGAAACTTTGGCAGGTTTTAAAACAAAAGTCTCAGACATCCACAGCCTCCCAGCTTGGCCCTAGCTGACTTGATGGTCTAGGGCATGGCACTGTCCCTACTGGGACTCCCTGGAGCAGAAGCCTCTTTCCCATCTCTTTCAAAACACTCATGAAACAGTTTGTAAAACTGCCTTGAGATCAGGAATATAGCTTCAGAAATTCCAATCAGAAGGCTTCTCTGGTGGCTCAGTGATGAAGAATCTGCCTGCCAATGCAGGAGACACAGGTTCGATCCCTGGTCTGAGAAGATCCCACATGCCACGGAGCAGCTAAGCCCATGCGCCTCAACTATTGAACCTGTGCTCTAGAACCCAGGAGCCACAGCTGCTGGGCCTATATGCCTACAACTACCAAAGCCTGCTGGCCCTATAGCCTGTGTTCTGCAACAAGAGAAGCCACTGCAATGGGAAGCCCATGTACTGCAACTAGAGAGACGTCCCCACTCACAGAAGCTAGAGATACGTCCATGTAGCAAGGAAGACTCAGATAGCCATAAATAAATAAAAAGAAATGCCAACCAAACGCAATCAAAATGCATCTGTGAATTCTTATTTAATAATGGCTGTAGGGAAAGTCTGTCTAATCTCAAAGAATGACCATTTGGAAAATATTTGTCAGAATAAAAAATGGACATGCCAAACTAAAACAACCCAAATACCTTTTAGTAATAGGGAAATAGATAACTGAACTGTAGAACAGCATCAGCAATGAACATGGTTGAATTATACCTGCAAGCAACGATATGGATGGACATGCCACATACCGGCTGAGTGAAAGTAAACAAGGCCAAGAAGACTACAGGGAGTGTGATACTCTTCATAACTCCTCAAAACAAGCAAAACGACACAGAGAGATGGAGAAAGAGATAAGCTACTTTGAAATTCAGAGTGTATTTGTTTTTTAAATAAATGAAGCCCAATCTAAATGCTGAAAGGGGTCACTTGAAGATTTTCAACAGCAAATAAGACATTTAAGAACCCTCTGATAGCTCATCCTGTCACACGCTGTTCTGTGCTCAGTCATGTCTGACTCTTGGTGACCCCATAGACAATAGCCCACCAGGCTCCTCTGTCCATGGGGATTCTGCAGGCAAGAATACTGGAGTGGGTTGCCATTTCCTTCTCCAAGGGATCTTCCCAACCCAGGGATCCAACCCAGGTCTCCTGCATTGCAGGCGGATTCTTTATCAGATAAGCTACCAGGGAAGCCCCAGCCTGTCATATTTAGAGTTTAAAGTTTA